GTTTCCTCCCCTGTAAGATCACAGCCCTGCTACTTTTATTGTTTCAAGCCTTCACCTCCGTTGCAATGCAGGGCACGTGTTCCTCAGAGGTCACACGGTTAGGTGGACGGCCTATTGGAACCTCGTTTTTCCTTTCTTTTCCCTTATTGAGGGCGGGGGCGAGATGCTGGCTCTGAGGCGAGGCGAGGCAGGGCAGCGCAGGGCAGGCCGTCGCGATGCTCTGCTTCCGAGGGTGCGGGGACGCCGAAGAGGGCGTCCCGCTCGGAAGCCAAAGTGCCGCGAGCCGCTGCTGGCCGCCCTCCCCTTTGTTCTGAAGGCAGCCGAGGGACCACAAAGCGGGCTGTTCTCTGGAGCAGCGGGGCGGGCGCAGGTGGGGCTGGGCGGCTTGGCGCCGCTTGAGCCGGGCGCATTCCGCGGGTCCCGGTCTAAGCGCAGTGTGGCTGCCGGGTCCCGGCGCTGCACGCAAGCCTGCGCAGGCGAGGAGGTGCTCTGTTGGATCCGTCCGTTCTGTAGCGGCGGCGGCCTTTCCTTTTCTGCGCTCGCGGCCATCGGCAGCGCGGACCTGCTCTCGGGGTCCCTCCCGCACGCTGCTTTGCGTGTCAGGTGCGCGGCGCTTTTGTTTCGGCGGCCGTCGAGAAGCGGAGCCGAGGCTGCTCCCCTACCCCGGGGTCTGAGGGAAAGCCTGCGCTGTTTTGATTTATGCCTCGTGTAAACATTTTAACATCGGATCCTTACAATCCAGCGCCTATCCCAAAGGGGATTAAACTATAATCCCCATCGCTCTATTGCTGTAGTGGATTAATTTCGTATTCTCGCTGTGGCTGGTTTGCTCCCTGAAGGCTATAACAAAAAGACGCAGTGCTCCTTAAATGTGCCGTGGTATTGGGAGTTGTAATTGGAGATTTTCAAAGGACGAGTATAAAAATGACACACTATTAAGTCTGAATGTGCATTTGCAAAGATGCTGCGGGGAGGGGGAAGTTCAGAGCCTTTGACGAAGAGGCAGACAGACGGACGGACGGAGAAAGAATCAGAGCCAGTCCCGGGTTACGGGCAGTGCGCATCTTAACCTGCAGGTCTCTCCCTCAGCGAGCCAAATCCTTCCCACTGTACTGCCTGGGGAAAGGATGCGGCAGCTGCCACCCCAGCTGTCTCACCCACGATCTTCCTCTGGGTGGCATGGTGGCGGGGACTGGGCCCGGCGGGCACAACCCTTCCTCCTGTGCTGCCCAGAGAGGGGCTTTCTGAGGAGAAGCCGGCCGCCCGGCAGCCTGCACTCTCAGCAGGGGAGGCGTTACTGGCACCCCACCCGAGCGGAGGAAGCCCCTGCCACTGCCTCCTGCTCCTGCTCCTGCTCCTCTCCAGGATAGTTTGGCTGGCCTCAGCCCTCCTTCCTACCGGCCTGGACTGCAACGGAGGAACAGCGGAAAGAGGAGGCGGCCCTCCCTGCAGGAGCCTTCTCCTTTCCCAGGCGCATCCTGCGGGAAGGAGGAGAGCTGGCACTGCGCGCTGCAGGCCACACCATCCGTGCTACAGGGCCCACAACCCCTCTCCCCCTAGGAGACGCCCCTGCAGGCCCGCACGCACTGCCTCGCCCGCACCACGCAGGACAAGCGAGGGAGCTTGGCCTGTCTTCCTGCCCGCAGGAGGTGGGCCATCGGACTGAGACGATGGCTGTCGCTGCAGGCGGCGGCGGCGCCCCTCTCGCCCTTTCCTTGCGGGCGGCTCCTGGAGCCCCGTTTTCCTTCCCTTCCCATGCCATCCAAAGAAGGGAGGAGCGAGGAGGTAGAGTTCCAGCCACTTCTGGCAGAGCCACCTCCTTTCTCTCCAAGCGTGAGCCAGCCCTGCTGGGAGCCGTCCTCTCCTGCACATCCCAGAGGGGAGAGGGCAGGTGAGCATCGCGGGGGGAAGCTGCTGCTTGCAACACCAGTCTCTTTTGGGGGCGCGGCCGCTGCCTTCTGAGCCTCCCTCCTCAAGCTGGGCGGAGGCAGGGTTCCGGACGTTTCTGCCCCTCTGCAGGCGAAAGGGAGGCGTTCTCCGACACCCCTGCGCATCCCCAGCACAGGATCCTCGGCAGCTACCCTGTTTTCAGCCTCTGACAGATTGCTGGATAATATCGAGGCTTACTTACAAGGCTCTCCGCAATAAAATCATCAGGAATGGTGACGTTCCTAAGCCGTATAGGCACCTCCTTTCTCCTCCCTCCTCCAAATGTTAATGGAAACATCGTGCGATTCTTTAGAACTCTTGTTTTACTAGGAGCAGGCTTGCCTAGTTCAGGTTTCACAAGTTGTTCAAATCTCCTGAAAGTCTTGCAGGTACTTGCAAGCCTAGAAATCTCCCTAATATACTTACTTGCAGGAGCAGTTAAAAAGAAAATTAAACCCCCGCTGATCATTGTCATTCATTGTTTGTTTCCTCTGGCGCGCCCACGCTTCACAAACACAACAGATTTAGGTAGCCTCTTGAAAAAGATTCCTTGTTATAGTCTTTGGCCTTCTGACCATGAACTACCAGCCGCTTCATTTTTATTTTGTCCATATAACAAGCTGGAAACTGGGAGGTAATTGGGTTAACTACCTGATCTTCCTTCTGGGAACGAGCGAGGCCCACTAAACGCCTTCTTATAATGATAGACTATCAAGCGGTTCTCGAACTGCATCATCTTTAACACCCTTTTATTTTAGCATGGAGGCCTGTAAAGCTAATGCGCTGGGAGAGACGGGCGGCGAGGAAGGGTTAAAGAGACGGGGAGAGGGACGGGGCGGGGAGAAGCGTCGGCGTCGGCCAGGGAGCCACTGTCTGGAGAGATCCTCTTGCCATCAAACACAAAGGAGAGGAGCCTAGGGAATCGAAACCCAAATCCACTTGTAATCGCACGAGAGAATCGCGCATAATTACTTGAGCGACCTAGATTAAGATTGATGAGCCTTTAAAGCGCCGTTTCGGATCGATCCCCTGCCCTTCGCGGCAGCCCGGCAAATACGCCGGCCCGCCCGCCTAGCGGCGAGCCGCTGCATGGCCCCGCCGAGCGCGGAGGCGGCGGCGGCCCGGGAGGGGGATGGAGACCGCGGGCGAGAGCGCGGCGCCCGGGCGCATGTGATCGCGATCAGGTGACCGGGGTCAAGAGGCCAGGCTGGCCTATTAGGCGAGGGGAAAACAAGAAAATGAAAGAAAATAGAGTTTGTATCAATATTATCCAGCCCCCGGTGGGCTTGCTTGAAAGCTGTCAAAGGCGGCAAGCCGAGCGTTGCTCCGGGCTGTGCAAAGAGGAGCGGCGGCGGCGGCGGCGGCGAGAGAAGTTAGCGCCGAAGTCCCAGCCGAGCCGCGCGCGTCAGGCGCTGGACGGGCTCCGGCGGGTTAAGTGGGTGGCAGGCAGCGGGGCCCGCGGGGGCGGCCCAGGGCGCTGCGCGGCTCACGGACGGCGCTCGGCCCGGCTCCGGCCAGCTGGCCCGCCCCTGCACCCCACCCCGCGGCAGTGGAAGCCGAGGCGGCGGCCGCGCATCCTCCGCTTGCTCGGGAGAGCCAGTTTTAAAGAGAATGTCACGGAGCTGAAATGAGTTTCCCCCGCCCCATGCTCAGCGTGAACGGTCTCGCCGTGTGCTTGTTTTAAGCTGGACAATAGGATGGCTTACTCTGCTCGTTACTAGGATGTGGCATAACTGTATATGATTTCAGCTTTCTCTGTTTGGTTTCTCTGTTTATCCATCTCCCCATCTTGGATTTACATCCCGATTTATGCATACACTTCCGTCCTAGTTCGAAATCCCGTTATTTTTCACGTGTCCTGCATGGAGGACATGCCTGAGTCATGCTTGTTCATCCCAGCCCTAAACACCTCTGGAACTTCGCTAGAATGCTGCAATTCTAAAACAGTATTAAAGCCCATTAAACTCAGTAAGATTTGCCTCAAAGTATGCAGGAGATGACATAGAAATGGTCGGTGAATTGAGAATTTACTTGGACTTATGAGTACATGATTATAGTTGTAGAAAGTAAGCACCAGGAAACTCCGTGGAATATACCTCTGAATAAAAATGTTGTAGAATCCCTCTGTAACCCTTTTTGTTTAAAAGTAAATATGTTGTTCATATTCAAGGTGTTAAACACCACAGTCCACACCTTTATTCAGAAGTAAGCACCAATGAACAAATGGGTTTAATCCAAGGAAATGTTGCTGCTAACAGCTGAAGGGGAAAGAATATATACAGTAACACTGTAGTTGCTTTAAAATCAGACTGTTTACATTTTACAATAAAGGCTATAGTGTCTTACAAATATATTGGGGCACAGCACTCATTTTGCATTGAATACTTCACAGATATTTTATGTTGTTGAAAATGTGGCATTGAATACTTCTAATAATAATATAACATACAATTTATTTGACACCTATTATTTGTATCATAATTCAGGCACTGGATACAGTAAAACTAAATCCAAATACGTTTTTCTTTTATTTGGATGAATAGATTTCTGACATAAAATAGTTGCAAACAGCCTTAGACCACTCTTCAACCACACCTACCGGAGGAATAAGTGCTGTTGCAGCTAATCAGTCCCCAACTACAACCATGCAGATACTGAATTCAGTTTGATTTACTCCTTGGTAAACATTGATAGGATTGGACTACACAATTAGGTAAAGGGGATATTTAAAAGGCTCAGTGTTACCCCTATGAGTGAGCAAATTTCCAAGCAAGTATCCCTTCTGTAAGTTAAAGTGGAATCTGAAGGAATATATCAAATCACTCTTATACTCTTGTCACATTTTGATTTATCTGAAAAACTATGAAAATGCCTGCTACATTTCTCCAAGTGTTTCCTACAAGGACAGCAGCTGCTCCTTTATGAAGCACTCTCCTTTTTTCTGTGTGCCCCTGCAGCACCAGGCACCTGGTCGTGTCTCTGCTGAAGTCCCAAGGCATTCTTGGATGGGCACAAGAGCAGCTCTTTCTTCCGCATTCCTGTGTCCTGATGCTGCCGCTCTTGTCTTGCAGGCCCGGTGGTCCTGAGCACGCCAGCCCAGCTCATCGCCCCAGTGGTGGTGGCCAAGGGAACACTCTCCATCACTACCACTGAGATCTACTTCGAGGTGGACGAGGATGATCCAGCCTTCAAGAAGATCGACCCTAAAGTGAGTGCAAGGCCCATTGCAGAAGGGAGAGGGCTTGGTCTTCCCCATCATTGGAGGAATGTGAAAAAGTGCCTGGAACCCTCCACCCCAAGCGCTCCCTTCCCCCTTGCCTGGCTGCATTTCTGTTTCATCGAAAAGCCTAGAGCGTTAATGAAGTAAAATCCTCTATTACTCCAGTGCACTCCCTTTTAACCATCTTTTCCCCCCCTCTCCTAAAGGCTTTTGTATGGATGTGGACAGGTTTAGCGGTTAAGCCAATTGCCTCGAAATCCCTTGAGGTAATGGCGGGCCCACACTTCAGCCTCATCCTTCGGGCACTCACTGCAGAAGGGGACTTTCTTTTTGATCTGAATGAAATCACTCAATTTCAAGGACTGAGTTTTTACCCGCCTGTGTGTGTGTGTGGGGGGGGGGGGGGGCACCATTTGAAACTCTAGCAAGAGATACAAGGGGATGGGAACACAGCTGTCACCTGGACTTGTGCAGCAGAGATGGGTGTTAAAAACATGCCTTGTTCCTATATAAACAGGAAGAGCTCCCTAGCTCAGTCGCTAGCTCTCACTCACTCATTTGGATGCACACAAACACACACTCCTGTGTGCTGTATCAAGGATATACTTTAAATTCTGTTGAGTTGGCAGAAAGACAGAATGCTCTATTTGGAAGTCACATCCATCTTACCTTAATACAGTCGTCATTGAGGGAGACTTCATTTCATCTTTTAGTAATTGTATGATTGTGGTATATCTATTGTGCCTTTTGTCTGCCTTTCCTTGACTGGAAGATTGGAATTAAAAGTGTCATCCCAGAGGAGGAGGAGGAGGATACAGAGTTGGCGACATGGCAATTCTGACAGTTTTGCTACTGCAGGCCAAGCATGAACAGAATTCTGTGAAAAATGTAACATTATTTGGGCAATTTGAACCATACTGATTCTCCTATAGATTTGCTTGCATATTTGCCCTTTGGCTTAATAATGCCTTGCATCCAGACTGGGAAGCATGGGCTTACCCTGTTTGCTCCTGCTGGACGTCTGAAGAGAGACCAGCAGTTGCTTTCCTCCAAGTGCAACCAACTGCAAGCAGGCTTATTGCTAGGCCAGTGATGTTTAGGGCAAAGGTAACATTATTCTGCACTTTTAGATTGTTAACTTGATCTCTCCAATCTATAAATTTTGCAGAACCCAGTGCCTTCCCCTGAAGTGTTAATTTTGTTGCAAAGTAGGCTTACCCCTCAGTCTTTCAAAGCAGACAGCTGTGTTAACCCAGTCCAGTAAATCTTTGAAAAGTAGATTCATTTTCTAGCAGTTGTAAAAATGTTACTGGGTTAATTACAAGACACCCCTGCCTGGCAGATGTTGATGACCTTCAGGACCAATTTCTAGGATATGTTACCCTGATATTCTTTTTTTCAAGATCATCATAAGGAAATTACTTTAACAGGGGGCTGGACGAGGCTGCAGATTTCCCCACCCCCACCCCCAGTCTTGTTGACTCATAATGCAGAAGACAGCAGCACCAACACGAATTGAATCCAGCACTGAAACGCTTGGCCATAGTTATTTTACTTTTATTTATTAGCTTGTAATTAAATAAAATCAGCAACAGAAATTTAAATCACAAAAAGTAATTATCCAGTGTATTTCAAGTGCATTTTCCCCAATATATAATTCCAATATTCACAATTATATAAGCAAAATCCAAATTTCTTCTGAATATATTTAAATAACATTTCAAGTATATTTATGGAATGTTAGAAATAGAACAAGCAATATATTTGAAACAAAAATGTAAACTTTTAAGTTCAGACACTTCAAAAGACAATTAACAAAAGTACCATGATAAAATCTACCTTTTTAAATGGTATCTTCTTGAGCAGAAAATGTCCTGAAGTATCCAAAATGGCAATTTAACTTCTTTTCACCAAATCACAAAACACTAACATCCACAGTTTTAAAGACAATGTGAGATCACAATATTCCATACAAATTTTTTAAAAAATCTACATGGGAGGGAAAGACATTGTGGATTTGTTTGATCTGTTGTTTTGTTCAGATGGCATTTCCAGATTTAAAAAAAAAAAGAAACCGTCCTTGTTCTAATCCGTGGCCCGATTTCTAGGCAGAGTGGTCACAATCGCGCGAAAGTACAGCCGATATTGCATTTTCCCTGGTGATAATCATACACTTTTTAAGAAACAGACGGAGTTTTAGCATTGTGTCACTGACGAGTCGTATTACTTGCTGTTGGCTTGGTGTCCGTGTCTGTGCTCGTGTGCGTGGACGGCCTCTTCCTTAGTGCAGGGTGATGTTTGCATTCTCGGAGGGCCAACACCTGCCTTTTCCCAACCGAATCCTCGCAGTACAGAAAGGCGTTCGAATAGTTTCAGGCCGCCTTCCCGTGCCCTCTAAAGTTTTTCCAAACTTTTGGGGTTGGTGAGTATTTCTCTAGCCAGCCGCCACGTTTGCTTGGCGGCATTTTCTAGGGCCGAGTGGGGCTTGCCCTGAAAGAGGTCTAAGTTGGGCAAGAAGTAATGCGGGCATCGCCGGCACTGGAGGCAAGAGATGAGCTGCAGCAAAATCCCGTTGAGCCGATCGCCCAGGCAAGACTCGTCCCAGTCCGACTCGCGGGGATGCTTCTCGCATTCGTACGAAACCAGAGTCTTCATGTGGTAATTGTTGAGCGGCTGCCCGGGCAGCTCCAGGTGCCGATCGCGCAGCGTTTTGAGAATCGAGAGGCATTTCTTTCGGCAGCCGCCCATCTGCAGCCTGTTCTCGGCTTCGGCGAACTGCAAGACCCAGGCGTCGCTCTCGGCCGAGCTCTGCTTCCCCGCCAGCGAGTGGCACTCCTTGGACAGGAGGTTGAAGCCCTCGGCCTTGACCTCGGCCACGCGGTTGGGTCCCGGCCAGGGGATGTGGGGCAGGGGCCAGTGGGCAGCGCTGCGGGGCCAGATCCCGGTGCACTTGAACGCCGGCGTGATCTGCACCACGTATCTGTCCCGGATGCGCAGCTTCACCTCGCTGGTGTCCGCCACCATTTTCACCACGTCCCTGTAGCTGCACTTGTCCACGGCTTGCGCCACCAGAGTCTGAAACCGCGAGCGGATCTTCCGCGCCGAGAGGTAGCCCGAGGCCGTGATGAACTCCACCCAGAGGGACATGCTCCTCTTGCGCCCGTCGCTCAGCTTGAGCACCGCGCAGCCGGGCAAGGAGCCGTCGTCCACGAAGTTGAAGACGCCCATCTGGTTCAGATAAAGGACCACCTCGAACTCGGTGGGCGAGATGACCTCCAGGCCCTCGTAGCGGTTGTCCATCTCGTTCAAGGAGCTGATGAAGCGCGGCTCCTGTACTTCCACTTCCTTCAGCACGTCCGAGACCACTTTGCAGACTTCTCGGATAGTTTTCGCGATGGCCGCTTTCCTGGCTTGGCATTTCTCGTTGTAGTACTTGTTCAGATGATACACCAGTTTAGCCTGGGCCGCGATCATGTTGGGGCAGAGATCCGGGTTGTAGACCGGAGTCTCGCAGTAGGCTGTGGGATCCAATGCGGCTGCTAAAGCTGGAGCCAACTTCAGAGGAGAATCGGGCTGCCTTCCACTCGGAAACGTAACCAGCGGCTAGCGAAAGGCGCTCGGCGGCCGCTGCTGCAGCCGCTTCTGCCGCTGCTGCTCTGCTTCGCTTTAGCTCGGCTGCTTTCTCTTCTTGCTGGCTGTAAGTAGTAGGATAGTTCAGCCCTGGACAGATCTGTGAGCCGTTACCAAAACACGAACTCCCCCAAAAGAGCACCTCCACAGAACGAAAACAGCCCTCTTGGTTTGGTGGTTAGAGGATCCTTAAATAAGCCGCGGAAAGCATTGAGATCTGTACTTCAAAATATAAAAATAAAGCCTCGAAGTTTGAACCCAGAGACGGCACGGCTCCGCTCAGTCCAAACAGTAACACATTTGGGGAAGGGTATTGATTTGTGTTCCTCCTGGAGTGGCCACTGTGCGTGTGCAGGGTTGCCAGTTTGTGGGGAAAGTGCTGGGTGTCTGTCCGTCTGTCTGTCTCTCGGTGTGTGTGTGCGTGTGTGTCTATGTCAGAAGAAGCTGACTGTTGGTTTGTATAAGAGCCCAGATGCACTCGTGTGGAAATTATAAAGGCAGGGCCAGGCGGGCGGGCGGCCAATCGCCACTGGGCTCGTCACGGCAGCCTCTTTCAGCTCCAGCCCGGTTAATTAATCCCTCTCTTGGAGATAGAGAGAGAGACACACAAACTCAAGGTAGGGGGCTGATGGCGGAAAACCACCAGGCAGGCCACCTACCATTGGGGAATCGAGGAAGAGCTCTCGACTTAGGCGCACGACGCTTCAGCGCGCTGCCGTTGGGAAGTCTTCGCCAAACTCCATTCTCCAGGCGCTCACAGTCTGGTGCTGGCACAAATGGGACCGCAAGTGACATTAGCCCGGCATCTTTCGACTTTAGTGAGCTGCAGAGAGGCGCTTCGCTCCTGGGAAAGAAACCGGAGACCTCCCTTTTCAGAATGGGCTTCAACTGGCGCTGTCTGCACAAGTTCTCCTCTCGTCAGCGGCTAGTCTAGTGTTAGAAAGTCAGCGATCCCGTGGCAGGAAATATCAGGAGAAGCCTCCTCCCTAATTAAATAGCATGAAGGGCGATCTGACGGGTCTTAATCGATTGGATGCAAATGTTGTCGTATTTCTACCTGGCTTCTTAGATTGGTAGCAGATGAATGAGGTATCCAGTTGGTTGACTGGGTTTGACAGTTTTCTGGATTGAGTTTCCGGAGCCATGCAGCTGGGGGTCAGCATCAATTGTATTTGCTAGTAATTAGTTGCATTGTTGACTTCTTCATGTCACACACGTGTTACGCAGGTATCTTACCCACCTACGCTGCCATTCTCAGCATTCTTGTAAAATAAATGTCTATTAAGGGCACGAGGTGGGCAGTTTATTTTCGCGTGAACTGTATTTGCAACCTTGAAGCGTTTTAATAGATGGCCACGCAGGACAGAGGCGGGGAAGGAGGGGCAGGGTCTGTACGGACCACACTCCCATAGGCAGGCAGCGTTCCTGTCCGCAAGGACCTTCCAAGTCAGGGGCAGCGTTAGCGGACCGAGAGCGCATTCAGTGTTTCTCGGCAGAGCTGCTTGTTGCACGGAGCTTGTAACAAGAAATGATCGCGCTTCGCTCCCTCTCTCTTACTCTGAGGACAAAGCACAGTTCAGGGCTGGAAGGCGGGCGTGGGAGAGACCCGAAAGAGTCTCCTTCCTTGAGGGGCTTCAAAAAGCACATACAATCATCTTCCTTTAAAAATTAATTGGGTGCCATCCAGCGGAAGCTAAGCGCTCTTTAGGTCGCTCGGTATCAGTGGAATTTAACCGTCAGTCCTAAAGATATCGCTCGCAAATCATGGGACGATCTTCCAAACAGAAGCTGAAACCTGCAGGGTGTTAAGCACTTGCGTCCAGTTTATTCTACACTTGTCTACCCTGAATCTGAAATAAATCCCATTGAATTCATTGGGACTTACCTCCAGGTAAATGGGTATAGGCTTGCGGCCTTATGGTTTTATTTATATCCCATTGAGTTCACGGGAATACAGACGTGCTTAATCTGCTCTGAATTAAGACCAATTGTGTTTAACATTCTCTCTCCTAACATACATTCAGTCCCGTATGCTTTTCATAGATCTCAAACACACCAGTTTGTTTCTAGGTAAGTTCCTATTTTAGGATTTATCAGTCAGTAGTGCAGTCCTCTTAAGTCTACTCCGAAGTAAGTCCCGTCGAGTTCAATGGGGCTTCGTCCCAGATAAGTGGATTGCAGCCGGAAAGTCCTCCCACGGGCGGTTTTATTAGGGCAGTCTGCTCGATTTCCCGCCGCCAGTAGCTCGTGTAGGATCGGGTTGTTCAAGAAGGGCAGCTTCGTCGTGCCTGGTTCGAACCTCGAGGCAGCTCCATATTTGCTGACGCTCTAGCTGGATCGATGCGTGCGTGCTTCGCTGGCCGAACTGGGCTCTTCAGTCGGGTGGAGGCGACCGTGCCAGGCGCTGCAGCCACGGGTCCTGGAAGCGGTGGAAGCGGGGCGCAGAGCTGTGCGCCCCTCGACGGCTCCACCGGCGCTGTGTTCTCGCCTGGCGTGCGCGGAGCGGAGACGAGTTTCGCCGAGCCTAACCTGGGCAGCCTTTGCGTCCCCTCGCGAGTGGCTCGCGGGGAGCCGGGCAAAGCGGTTTAAGCGGCATCCAGTCTCTCCCAAACCGCAGGCAGCCGGAGGGGTTGCTTTGCGCCACGACGACGAGCCGTTCCGAGCAGCCAGGCCTGGCTCGCGCTTGGCTGTTGGCGCGGCAGCAAAGGTGGCGGCCCAGCCTGGTCCGCCGCGGCCATCAGGCGAGCCGGCTTGCCTGCGGGCCAGGCCAGCGCAGCGCAGCGGCCCTGGCCTCGCCAACAGGTGGTGGAGAGGCCGCTTCGCCCTCCCGCCCACGGGCGAAGCGGAGCCCGTTTCCCTTCCGTCCCCGCCCTGGGAGCCGCCGCCAGCTCTTGCCTCGGTGCTCCCGTTCCCGGCCAGGTGCCGAGCTTGCAGGGGGACCGGGGACGCGCTCTCCTCCATCAGGAGCCAAAGGCAGCGGGATTGTTTGGCCGGGTCGACAGAGGAGGAACCAGGCCTGCGGAAGCGAGCCGGGCATCCCGAGGCTGCTTCCACGGAGCTGCTGCTTGTCCTGACCACAGACAGCTCTTGCCCCGGTCTCGTAACCCAGCAATAGCGAAAAGGCTTCTGCCACGATGCGTACATGTAACTGAACGTGTATCATGCATTATAAGCGGCCCAAGACATGACAAACATTTGCAGCTAAATTTAAATGCTCTTTCTAGCAGAGATGCAAGGAAGCAAGTCTGTAGTTTACGAAAGTCTTCAGACAAAGGAGTTTTAGCTTGGTTAACTGTATGGATGGCACATGCAGGAAAACTCTTACAGCGATGTTCACCTGGTCTCCATAATGGGGAGATGCAAACCTAATCAAAGAAGTCGCATTAAGCCCATTAAAATCAGTAAGTTTATGAATAAAGATGATTAGGATTGGGCTGTAAATTAGTTGAATGATCTGCTATAATTCCTTTATATCAGCGTTTCTTGTTGAATGCTTATAGGAAAGATACGACTTTTATAATGTAATAGAAAACCATTCTAGCAAGATAAAGGCCCGGGCAGTTAAACTGGAAGGATACAATTCTGATGTATCTTGGGCTGTAATGCTGGAGAATATGGTCAAATGTACCTTGTGGCAGTTACTTTTGAGTAAATGTAGATAGGACTGGTAGCACATCTCATTATTGTTATTGAGATTTAGCTGTTCAATCTTTCTTTATAGCTGCATAGTTCAGATTGCTTTCCACATAGTGTTAAACTTTTAAAAAATAAATAATTAAAGCAACTCATTCAGATGACTTTGAAATATTTGACCTGAAACATATGCATAAAACATTAATCATAGGATTAATATGAGGAGAATTAAGGAATATTTAATTATTTGAACTGTAAGGGTAAGAAATGATTAAGATTTTGCCTATTAGAGTTAAAATTAATTTCAAGTTTCAATAGTTTAGAAAACATTAATGTTTTTGTTGGTGTTCAGAAGCTTTTCTCATCTACTAATAGTGTGGATGTTTAAAACCACTCCGAAGTTCAATATGAATTTAGTAATTTATTTTTTAAAAAATCTGCCTAGCTATATAAGCATATAGAAAATAAAGAGAGCTCAGCTGACATGAAATCTTACTGTTTTTCCTCAATTAGGTGGTAGATTGGACTGAATGGTACCAAATGCTTTTCCAGTTATATTGTCATAAAATAGTCTCATATTAGGCAAACATATATAATACAGAGAAGATTGTTTGAGACTGACAATTACACTCTGTCTGTATTCCTGAATTCAAACATGGGTTAATATTCCATTATTATTACTATAGCCTGATATTACCTGAATGCTGTTTTTGTGTTTTGGGTTTCAATGTACAGAGTTTTATTGGTAGATTAAGATTAACATAATCCAATAAAATATAGAGTTGATAATCCATTGTGTAAGGAATCAAAAGTAGAGGAAAGAGTGAGCAGTGATGTACTAAAAAAAAGTTCCCTGTTGCTTAGCCCTGCCCACTTTTGCAATCTCTGCTGGAACTGTGGTTCCCAGACCTTTATATAAGGACATTTTGTGCAAAATTAGTCCATTATTTCTCCAAGAAGTTATTTCAGGTAAAGATTGTGTGCATGCAAAACTTTGTGTTTCAATAAACCAAATGTAAAAACTGGTAACATCAGTTTTAAAATTTCACTAAACTTCCCTTTTACCTAGGAAATAATAATAAATGATTAGAATGCAGATACTTGTGTGAGTGCTTATAGAGATATCGCATTTTATTTTTTATATAGTTGTGATTCTGCACACTATTCATGAATTGAAAGTTCTATTTTTTAATATCTGTCTACAGCACTGGGGAGGCAGAATATGAAATAGATTTTATTAAATTATTTATCCCCGTTGCTGGAGTGGGTTTG